ACCAGCCCGGTGCTTCACATGTGGGCAATAACAGTGACAAAAACATGTCTTTCTGTTTTGATCCGTACTACTCGTGATTTACGAGCTGTGTCGCTGTTCTGGCCGGCAGATGTACGAGGAGTCCAGCATGGATCCGTCGGACGTCGGCGGCCAGATTAACGTGCCGGGCCAGCCGTCCCGGGCCGCCGACGGCTCGGTGGAGTACAACACTCTGGACGAGCCCATCCGACAGACGATCGTGCGTGCTGGGAGAGCCGCCGAGCCCGCTGCCGGCCACTGCGTGGCGCGGCGGTCGAGCGCGCTGCGGTCTGGCCAAACGTGCCTCGCGCAGTTTAACGTGCTGACGTATTTAAGATATCGGGCGACGCACACTGTGTGTCTAGATGATTGTTTTTTCTTGGTTTTCGCCAATGTCTGCAACGTTTTGTGTGTCATGTTTGTCATATGACTATTCACTGGTGGTCCTAAAAACCCCATTTATCCATCGGTCCAGTATGCTTCTAATTGATGATCTGTCCTTTGGCTACGGAGCATTTTTTGTGCGTTTGAGTACTTTTCAATATCAGTAAACCACGTCATATGACATTTCAGATGCGTGATTTGAAGGCGGTCGGAGCGAAGTTTTGGCACGTTATGTACCCTCGGGAGAAGAAGGCACTGCTAAAGGAATGTAAGCCATCGTATTAAACACTTGACATGATTCGACTGGCATTTCCTTTCGAAGGAATTGCGCTGACTCAGTGAATCACCTTGAAATAAGTTGAATATTTATGTTGCATAGTAGAATGCCTCGTTTTGAAGGTATTCAGCTCGTCCCTTTTCAACTGGCAATGTTTGATTGCTTTTCTGCATTTGTCAGAGATCGTGTTTTCACTGCGTGAAGGGGTGCCATTACGCTTTCTGGTTCGTCTTTTTAAGAAATTATGGCTTGCATCTTCTCGAGCTGTGGGTGTTGTATGGGGTTCTGCTGCTGTCAGCAGTTTTCGTGCCTGCCATGTGTTTGAGTGGGTCCCCTGCGGCTGTCGGCGTGTAACCGGCCGCCGTTCGCCCGGCGTCAGGGGACCTCTGGGGCCCGCTGATCCTGTGCACGGTGCTGGCCGTGATGCTGCAAGGCGCGCCGGAGCCGGCCGCCGCCGGCGTGGCCGCCAACGACGGCGGCCCAGAGTTCGCCGAGGTGTTCGTCATCATCTGGATCGGCTCGGCCGTGGTCACGCTCAACACCAAGCTGCTGGGCGGATCCATGTGAGTTCCGCTCTGGCGGGCCAACAGGCTTCCATGGACCACGAGGGGAACCTGGTGATGCTGTAGCGACGTGCCTAAACCTCGTGTCATCCTCACGTTATAGTACTGCTTGGATCAGGCGGTGCTGGTTGTTGTGATGCTGTAGCGACGTGCCTAATCCTCTTGTCATCCTCACGTCATAGCACTGCTTGGATCAGGCGGTGCTGGTTGCCACGTTATGGGTGTCTCAGTGCTTTTTGTTTGTTAAGTAATCGCCTCTTGAATGGTGTTTTCTTCTTGGATCTGCTCATCACAACCATACGTTGTGCGCGCCGGACTCCCGGTTGCCCCGGGCTGCGTGCTCCACGCGAGCCCGACGACCCGTGTTAGGTTCGGTTTATAACCCATGACGTCGCGTGGCCCGGCTGCACCGTGGTGACTCTGCTTTGTGGCAAAAAACACTGCGTTTTTCTAGAGCCACGTTAAGGTTAATTTGGCTCACATTTGTTTCATATTTGCCGTGGATGTTTCGCATCTAAAGCGCACCTGAGATGAACGCAATACTGTCTCCAACCATGCTCGTTTTGCATGATACACCAACAACTGTTATCATAATTACTTGGAAAATTATGCGCTATGAAACCATGGTGCAATGTTATTTGGTTTCCTGGATTGGTTTTGCTGGCTGCACATAACCAGTAATTTGAAATCAAAGGGAGAATCGCGCAAGTGATGCATTTCCTATCCAAAGCTGTGATATATTCTATCAAGGTTTAAATCGTGCGACCCTGAAAGGATCAAATCTGGTCACATTTGCTTTAGTTTGGCCTATTTGGACCTTAGATAACATGACCATTGGAAACCAGAACGACAGTAATACACTTCAGTGGGTATAAATCGGAAGAGTCTTGAAACCCGGCATATAGGACATTTTCTGTCAGAACACGGGTTGTCTTTTAGAAATTTGTCACCTATGTCACCTCGAGAAAGAGATCACAATTATTGATCCGTCGAATTCAGGAATTTCAAATTTCATCTGTGGAAAACATGCGCTAGCTCAGGTACCCAAACTTTCATCGCTGCCCTCCAAACTGGTCAAAAATTGTTCCGAACACGTCTGGAAAAAAAGACTGGCCCCTTCCTTCTCTTTTGAACTCTTCGGTCTGGCTGCTATTACCTGCTGAACAGCGCCCAGCGTATTAATGCCGGTTGCCTGACTGTTCCTGGGCGGCAGTTCTTTCTTCCAGAGCGTGTGCGTGCTGGGCTACTGCCTGTTCCCCACCATCGTGGCACTGCTGCTGTGCTGGCTGGTGCTGCTGTTCCCGCAGACGACAGCGCTGTTCGTGCTCCGCCTGCTCTTCACGTGCGTCGGCTTTGGCTGGGCCACATATGGTGAGTCCTCACGACCTGTTGCAATCCCAGGCACGTTATGGCAGACGAAAGCAATTCATGCCACTCGAAAACTAAAAGTACCTTGCTATGATTTTGTTTTCATGGTGAATCTGCCGGGCTCAGGCTGCGTTGCCGTCGTCCGCGGCATGAAACGTTGCAAGCGGCACCATTCATGGTCGTCGCCGTGCAAGCCGTCGTGCATCTACCGACATTTCGAGCGTGTTCTGAACTGATCGTAAGCGTTCTGGTCGGTCTTAGCGGCATGCGCGCAGTTCGGGCAGAGATTCAGTATCGTTTAAGCATTCGTTTTAGGTGTATATATATATATATATATATATATATATATATATATATATATATATATATATTAGAGGTCACTTAGTGCCCATGTATAGAAGCAGCCTGCGCGAGAGGCATTGTCATCATTGGTTGCAGGCATTGTCTTTCCACTTTGTCGTGAAACTGTTGACGTGTGTCCGTAATGTGAAACATTACGGACCTAAAGGTACGTAACGATAACAGATGCGAGGATAACAATATAACAATAAAGGTAAATGTAACAAAAAATAACGATAAAGGCGAAGGTAACAAATGGTACCAGGGACTCGTAGACTCGCACTATCGGGGCATAGAAGATTGATAATGAATGTAAACTCATTCGGTTTGAATGCGTGTCTGAACTTCGCGCGGCGTTGTTTCAGCGTCCGTCAAGTTCTTGGGAGACAGCCAGCCCGCGTCCCGCAAGGCTCTGGGAGTCTATCCCATCTTCCTCTTCTACTTCGTGATATCGTGGCTCGTGATCTCACACTCCGACACGTAGGGGTGCGGGGTGACGTGAGGGTGCAACTGTTTTATTGTTTGTGTTGCACGGTGTAACACTGGTTTTGGCGCCTGTGTGTATGCGTGAAAAGCTGCAAGCTCTTGACGTGCGCAGCCACAAGTTGCCTCTAAGCTGTGTGTTTCGCCGTCTCATGCTGACCAATTTGATTTCGTGCATTAGCTTGGAAATCAACTTACGAGAAACTTGGGCGTTGGCATGTTTGACGAGGAGGGGGGATTCAAATCTTGTGTGCTGTTCATTTTTTTAATGTCAAATTGCAATGCCACCAGTATCTTGAAAATACACATATGAATGCTCGCTTTCGGATTGTAGATCTGACGTGCGTCTACCAACGTGTAACAGTACGCTAGGCCACGCCGCAAGTGGCGGCGTGGGACTAGCGAGGTGACATGTGAAGCAGTATTCACGTGATGACACAAAGACCCCGTGCAAATACAACATTCTTACCGATACATGAGGCATACATTTAACCTTGCAACTAGTTAGCCGTAACTCTTTGCCCATCATACACAAGTTCGTACATTGACTCATAGGTCAGTTCACGTCCAAAGTTAGATATGGGAGACATAGGTTGAAGACCGGTTGACTGGACCGGGCCATCTTAGCTGGCAAAATGGACGAATCGAAACCGTCCTCGTCTTTGGTTACCGGAGTGCCGCAAAAAAGTCTTAGCTGGATGTTGGTCTGAGCTGGGCTGGGTGAGCTGGGTGTTACACGCCTGTATGCCGTTCACTGTCAAGACTCACACGGTTTGGGCCCAGCGTACCATATTCTAGGCCGGGGCCCAGGTCAGCGACACCAGGCCCGCCTCGGCGCCCAGCTTCCGGCGTTGGTGTGGGTCAGACTGGACTGACCAAGCGCAACGTTCGCAGACGTTACATTCACAGACACCACCTAGTTCATGGTCTTCCGTGGCTGCCGAGATTTACCATCAATCCTTGGAAACTTCCAGGAGCAGAGGATTCGAGCTCAGTGGCACATCGCCGGTCACACACACTGACCCCTTTTTCCGCACAATTTCCATCTCTCAGGTCAGTCAGGTGTTGGTCATGGGTAGCGATCCCTGTTGTCAAGTTTTCTTCCATTTCCTTCGCCTTTCTTGCCATTGGTAAATTTCAGCTTTCAGCATTAGTCAAATGGAGACATGAAACTTCAGTAATGTTGCAATGTCTGCTCAACACATGACACAAGTGACTTGAAAATATCTCAACAAATTTGATATGCTATCCAAATGCTTAAGTGAAAAGAGCAAGCTGAATTATAATTTCTGTGCATTATATTCCACAATGCCTTGTCACAATTCCATTACAGAATAGTGCTAGTGGAATATTAATTGCTGAGAACTGCACAGCAGCATAAGCCATGACTGCAAAGATCCAGGCCACCTGCAAACATTCTCACTCAATATAGGCAGGACTGGCCCTTATGGTCCAAAATATTTGCTGCTCAATGCTAAAACAGACTCACTGACCCATATTTTGTCCGCCCTTCTCTGCATTGTGTCTGAGATAATGTTCACTTACTGCTGCACCTGTGATCAGACTGATTTCAACAATAATTGATATTTCAACCTTTCATTGGCACAAACACCTACAGTTTATCACAGCAGTAGACACATGCAATATTGTAAAACTGTAGCATAGTCATGGACATGGTCCCAATGCTCCCACACTTTTTTGTGTATGTAATTACCATAACTATACCAGTATGCATTATATGCAGTCAAACCAGAAGCCAACATTAGTTGTATCTTAGCAAACACAGATAGCCAAAGAGTACTACTAACAATATCACACTGTGCACATGAATTGTAGATGCTGATCACAATGCTAAATGTCATCACTGCAGTTCAGAAGCAGCCTTGATTGCAGCATCCATAGCTTCAATCATCTCATCCAGTTGTTTCTTATTCAGCTCCAATGTAATGTCTTCACCCCCTGCTGTCTTGAAATTCACAGAGGTGAGGGGCTCATACATCATACCAGCTGAGCTGGAAGCCAGTATAACCTGGAATTATTTGCATGTATCAGCACCATTTCACAAATGAATGATGAGCCGATGATGCCATTAGAAAACGCACCCAAACTCTGGTTTCCTAAGCATGGGAAAATATGAGCATCATACCATTATAACTAATTTTCAGGTTGGGAGGCAGGTAAACAGGTGTCAAGAGCTGATAACCACCACATAAATATGGTTAGCTGCCCACCTTTACTCTCCAGTCAAAGTCAGACACTTCATGGATGACTGCTGACTTGTCATTCTGTGACACACTATTGTTGTCTTCCCCAGGCATGTTGACAATGTGCTGGTCACCAAGGTCTGCAAGAGAACACCAAGAACATTTCTTAAGCTTGTCAGTGCTATTGCCTCTCCTGGTAGCCATAAACCCTCAATGGGATGAAAATTTTCTATAAAAAGTAACCTCTACTAATAGCTTGTTTTTAACTTGCTTCCAGTATCAGGAGCAGTTCACACTTTTTGCATTTATTTGCAAGATAAGATTCAAAAGAAAAACATGTTTATACCAAGCAAATCACTGTCAGCAGCTCATCATGAGCAGCTGTGAGCTTGTGCTCACAACGCAGACAGTGAGGGTTCTTTTCATCATAGTGCCCTTGGGCATGACACTGAGTTGTACTTGTTGTACCCACCTGATTGGTCTCAAGGCTCCAGATTGCTCAGAATCCCCAAGAATGGGTGTCACAGATGTCACACCTCATAAAACATAACTGCATAACTCAAAATGATAAATCGTGCTGGAAAAATGTGCGCAAATGGTAATGAAACCTGGCACTTCAAAGGGCAATAAAACCAAGTACGCGTGACAATCTAAAAGCAACCGTTCCCAGACCCTCTCCCTGTTGTCATACGCTTGAAACCTTAGCTATCCTGCTCTCACTACCCCGCTTCGAATCTTCATCTGCCGGTTAACAGGGCACAGGTCCTCAAGATACAGGGCACCGCATCTCCAATTATTACCCCACCCCCAATCGTCGTCCACAGTGCCACCTCCTCATACTACCCGGCAGCCTGATACGGCTTTCAGAGGCCTCAAGTATGTCAGCTAGCAATTGAACCTGCGCCATGAATGTATTCCAAATATTCTGCTACCAAAACAAAAACCAAAATGCATAAAAAAACAAAAGCTCGATATTCTTTCCAAGGGCATATTAAAGGAATAGTATTTTACACCGTGACATTGATGCTGGCTTTACATGAAATAGTGCTTGTCCCAGTTTACTGCTGTATTTGAGCTAGCTTTGATATGTTGCAGAATGAAGGTCTTGTAAAACCGAAAAATGCGTTTTTGGTATTTGGAATGGCTTTAGGTCTTTGTCATTATAAGACACACACGACCTTACAATATTTGTGCCACCTCCTTGTTACTACTGCGACTGCTGTCGCTTTCGGCTGCGGTTCGTCGCCGATTTCGTAATGCGCAGGCTGAGATCAAGTGAGATCAGGGTCATCTTTGTTGGGAGTGGGTTATTGTCACTTGTCAGCTGTCAGGTGAATGTAGTAGGTGCGTGTTGCTTCCCCTCGGGATTTGATTTAAAATAAGCCTCCTTGTGCTGCTACCGTGCGTTAACAATTCTGTTTTGCAAAAACTTGGTCCGGTGGACGAAAACAGTTATGTGCACTGAAATACATACAACTTTTACGGGCGTCACACCCATTTAGTGATACCTTGCTTTGTCTTGTGTTGCCTTATGACATGTTTTAGTTAGGCATGTGCACTAGAAGCTTCAATCGCTGCCCTTTTTGCATCAATGTAAGATAATTATTGCTGATCAGTCTCAGTAGCCTAAAATGGAAAACATGCATGGTGTGTTAGAGATATTTAGCTTAACTGCAACATTACTGGGACAATTTTAGCACATGTTTCCATAGATCTAGGTGCCCAGGGTTTGCCAAATGGTCACCATAAATTTGCAGAATCATTGCAATTTGACCCGGCACTGAGTTGGCTCATTGAAGTCGGGTTCAGGGTACCAATGTCCTGTAGGTACATGGTGCAGCATATCAATTTTGTAAACCAGTGAGCTTTTTATAGGTTTCTGAGAGGCATGCAAGAGTTGTATGAAGTTTGGGTGTGAACTCTATGATTGGATAGTCTGTGGTAGCATTACCATCATTATGCATTACCATCATTATATACCTCTTTGAAGGCATATCATGTGTGATTTCTAAGTAAAAAATGATAATATTTACTTAAATTACTCAGGTTTTATTTTGGATCTGGAAAGCTGCAGTATGGAGTAAGAAGATTTTGCATTGCTGGCTTACTAATCTTACTGGTGTTGGGATTTCTTTCTTATGCTAGGACTGGGTTTAAAAGCAGTATAAAACCACTGCTACATAATAATATCCTGTACTTGCAGCATGGTCCCACACCCATGACCACTCCTAGCATGCATATCTACTACTTGCATACAGTATATATAAAGGTGTGCATTAAACTTTGAACATGAGTCACTGAAACTGGTTTTTGTGAAATTGGGTCTCATAATTTCAGGAGTGGCCTTTTTGTGAATCATGTCAAATAGATGCAGGTGCACATGAATGGAATGTGGTGAATGTATTTTTTGAATCAGTTCTTGTGAAGCAGAATGAAACTCTATGCCTTGTGCTGCTACACTTAACTTAAATGTTTGAAAGTAACCTGACAAGATGCATGGAACAGCACTGCATTTATGAATACATCAAGTTACATCATACATGAAATGAGTATGCTACTACCAATGTCAACAGGCTACAGTGGTATGCATTCTAAAATTTGTTATTTTTGGTGGCATGCTGTGTTTTCTCCAAATCATTACCAGTGGCTCCTGGGCAGATGTAGACCTATGGGAGGATGGGCTGTGCAAGGTGCATAACAGGGGCTGGGCATTATATGACTCTCACTCAAAAGCAATGACTCACATGGCAGGTATAAGGATGCCAAAGTTGACATTATCTACCATAAGGCTTTTTGTACACAAATAGTAGTAAGACCACATGGAAATAAACCATGTGCCATGACAATTAAGGTGAGGTTCACAGAGAGACTGGAACCTCTTCTGTAGTAGAGTGAGCTGTGGAAGGTTTTCCCTAGAAATCAAATGTGAGGACTGTCAGCACATTTATGACATGGGCTTCAGGTTGATAGAGGGACAGATCATTAATGATGGTTTGTAAGAGGAGCAGGCTGAGTGAAGCCATTAAAATGTTATGATTGGATGGGAATGTTAGGATGGGATTGGGTACATCTATGGAAAGGTGTTAACTACCTATCAGTTACCAAGTCTGTTGGGCATAAGTTGAACATGGCCACTATGGTAAAAAGGGAACAAGTTTGGTTAATAGAATGGTTCTGGAGCTGAGGACAACTTTGCATGGCTAATCACATCAAATCATTAGAATATATTAAGGCAGCATAACATAGTGAGCTCCCACCAGGCCATGGCAGGGGGAATGAGGTGAGACAGGGCAAGAATCTCAATGCTGTTGAACATGATGACAAATTTATTTTGATCCCTGGCTGTAGAGTGGAACTCATCCATTATAGGGATTAGGTTTTGGGATAGGAGAGCTGGGGAGTCATGCACATGCTGGAAGGCATGCATATGTGTCATCTGCATGCCAAATCAGAACTATGCAACACATGAAAAGTGCAATTATTTAGGGAGCAACATCCAAATATCAGTGACAAAATGAGAGAGACAATTCCGTCGATAGCATGTGCGTATTATCCGGTCATTTTTTAAAATGAAACAAGTAGATATCTGAAATATTCCACAAGTCCATGACGCCCCAGAAACATAGCTCAAGTCGTTAATCCTTGACCTTATGTTTTGCAGGGATGTGCAAGATGTGTGTCCTGAGCAATGGTTACCAATGACCTTGACACGCACCTCTTGACCACTGCTGGGGGACATGGGATGCATGTCCAGCAAGGCGGACATCAATGACCGTCACCCAAACATCTTCCAAGTGGTCAACATCGACGACCTTGGTCAGGAGCTGCGACCGGCCAAACTGGAGATCACAGATCGGGACATTATTCTCCACCAAAGAGGTAGGTGTCCGCTGCCTTTCGGGCGTGTGCCATAGAATGCCTGCCTGCTGGGGAGATGCATGCCCAGGTGTTAAATATGCGATCAGCCGTCCGCCGCTGGTGGAGGCGGAGGCCATTTGGCGGTCTGTTTGTAACGCCGGCCGTGACGTGACACGTCACACTGCTGGCGCGTGACGCGGTTCCGCGAGCTGCCCGCACGTGAACGTGTCGTTTTCAGGTTCGTGACTAGTGATCCGAGATCACGTCTGAGCCACGGTACGTTGCCCAGGCCTGCGTCCTGCACGCCATGTCTGACCGAGCTGTCTGAGCCACGGCCGCTCCTGACCTACTGGTCTTTGTCCAGACCCGTGATGTCCTGACCACTGCGCCGTCTGACCTGCTGACCCTGGCTGACTGCGGCCACCGCCTGGACCTGTGCGCGCAGGCCGCTCGGGCGTCCGATGGCCCATCCGCTGTCTGAAGCGGTACGGCTACTCGGAGGGCGTGTTCAGCTTCGAGCTGGGCCGACGCGCGCCCCCACCGGCGCCGGCGTGTACGGCCTTCAGTGTGAGCGCGCCGAGGCCCTGTTCCAGCTGCTGCAGGTCAGTGAGGCGCGGGAGTATATAGTCCACTTGGGGGTCAAGTGCTGAAAGGATTTTTACACACACCGGCTGAATGATGAATGGATAATTGTGCCGTAGTCCGGTAGGTGACTAGTTCGGAGGATTCGTAACGGTATGCGGCACCATGACGTGTTGTACAGCGTTGAAGTTCCCAACTTCTGGGCTAGGATATACGGCGCGCTTGGTGGGAATTGAGCCATCGTCGATGTATTTCCCGAACCTACTGCGTCCGCTCTTGCCGTTCACGGTGCCCCTATGCTGATATCCCGCCATTTAAGTTACGTGGAACTGGCGACAGTTACGAAGGAAACATTGAACGTTACAAATTGAAACATGAACTGCACATTTGTTCCGATACGCATGTTAGTGCTGATAAGTAAACGATGAACTTACAACTGAGTCGTGGGTGTAAGGTGTCGCGAGACAGCTGATCGCTGAGCTGTCTGTGTGTGTGTATGTGCGCGCCGGCATGTCCGTGCGCTTCTGTCGCCCTGCCGGGACTGGGGTGCGAGTGTGACACCACCCCCTGGGGCGGCAGACGTGCATCCAGAACCCGGCGGACGAGGGCCGCCAGACGCCCGCGCACGGGGACGTCACCGGCGGCGGCCAACGGCGACGTGGCCGCCCTGGAGGCCTGGCACGGACCGGCAGGTGAGACGGGGCCGACCGCCGGCAGCGGTGGTGCCGACCGCCGGCAGGGGTGGGGCGAGCTGCTGACAGGGATGGTTGCCGACCGCCGGCAGGGCTGGGACGGGCTGCCGGCAGGAGTGGTGCGGACCGCCGGCAGGGATAAGGCGGACCACTGGCGGGGGTGGTGCGGACCACCGGCAGGGGCGGACAGGCTGCCGACAGGGGTGGTGCGGACCGCCGGCAGGGATAGGGCGGACCACTGGCAGGCGGTGGGGCGGACGCCGGTAGGTCAGAGGGGCTTACTTCCGGCCACTCTGCACCCGCCGGTGTGTGGACAAAGGAATGAAAGGGACTGTCCGACCGCTGACGTCTGTGAACCATAAGGCGTGCGCGCGGCGGTTGTAGGAAGAGAGTTGGTTGCGGCGGTGTAGGAAGGAGTGGTGCGGCGGCGTGGGAAGGAGTGTGTGCGGCGGTGTAGGGATGTTGTGCGCGACTGTGTGGGAAGGAGTGTGTGCGACGGTGTAGGGAGGAGGCTGTGCGGCTGTATAGGGGGTGGTCTGCGCGACTGTGTGGGCAGGAGTGTGTGCGGCGATGTAGGAAGGAGTGTGTGCGGCGGTGTAAGAAGGATGTGTGCGGCGATGTAGGAAGGAGTGTGTGTTGGTGTAGAAGGAATTGTGTGCGGCTGTACAGGGGGTGGTGTGCGCGACTGTGTGGGAAGGAGTGTGCGCGCCTGTGTAGGAAGGAGTGTGCGCGACTGTGTGGGAAGGAATGTGCGCGACTGTGTAAGGGTGTGCGCGAATGTGTGGGAAGGAACGTGCGCGGCTGTGTCGGAAGGAGCGTGCGCGGTTGTCTCGGAAGGCATGTGCGTGCCTGTGTAGGAAGGAGTGTGCGCGACTGTGTCTTTGCGCATCATATGCTGTGCTGTCGAAGCTTTCTTTGTGAAGAACAGGTCTTTGTATTAGCGCAGTTTGGGAGCGCTCATGTGCCGCGGCTGGATTACATATAAACCAACGGATGGCTGACGGGGCCGGGAGGCACCCAACAAGGTCATGCAATACGAATACGCAGGGCTCAGAGCCCGGATATGGAAGTAGTAGTATTATTAGCTGTAAAGGGTAGATGAATTCGACTGTGCGTGACAATTTCTGGATCCGGTGACGAAATGAAGGAGCATGACAAAAACACAACCCGCAGGCTTTCCGCTCGCTTGGGTTTGCTGCGATCACTTAGGCCGGTTTATGGTCATAACTGATTTTTTTGTGGGGTGGGGGGTGGCGCTTTTCGTGTTTGGTGCTTTCACGTGCTATTAACAGTGTGCGTTGTATTGATGTATTCCACGTATGTCATGCTAACGAAGATGCAACTCGTAATTTTTTAGCTGTGTACTTGTCATCTGTAAGCCATGCCACGGATCGCAACGCGTCCGGTCCCCGTTCTGACCCGTCTTGGTGTTTCTCGGCAGACGGCTCGGACCAGGCCGTGTACGTCAACGAGGAGGTGTGGTCGGAGGAGGCCGCCGCGCCGCCGCCCAGACGCCGAGCCGGCCAAGCAGCCGCCGGTGCCGGCGCAGCGTAAGTCCAAGCCAGCGCACTCGTACCTGAACACGGTGCCGTGCGACATCAACACACAACCTACCAGTCGGCGGAGGAGGCCGATCGGCGCCACCTGTACGTGAACGTGCTGCCCGAGGCGGGCGTCGCCAGTGCCGAGGACGCCGAGCGGTGCTACGTGAACATTCGGTCGGCCGGGAGTGGCGCCGCGCGCCTCGTGAACTACGCCGTGCTCGACCTGCAGGCGGCCGGGCGCGCCGAGCCGTGCGACGGCGGCGGCGGCGGCGGCGGCTGCCGTCACCGCGCGGCCCGGCCAGGGGTACGCCACCATCGACTTCGACAAGACGGCCGCGCTCTCGATGGCCGTCAGCCGCGTCGATCCGGAGGAGGAGGCCGAGTGTCGGCGCAAGACGCGCCACAACTCGACCATCGTCGAGCCGGGCCTCTCCCGGCACAACTCGGTCATCAGCACCTAGCCGCGCCGCCGCCCGCCGCCCGCGGCGGCCGCGGCTCGGCGCCGGTGCGGATGCCGGGCCGGTCGTGCCGCCCGCGGTGGGCCCACCACTGTACCTGGACCGTCGCGGCCCGCGCCGCCCGGGGTGCCGCTTTGATCTCCTGCATGCGCACCGAGCGGGGGCCGTATTTATGGACAATTACGTAAGTGCTAGGCAGCGTTGACGGGGCAAAACGCTGGTCCGAAGCAGCTGGCCTCAAGAGGCTGCGCCGTCGCAGCTCGTGGAACCTTTATATCCGGGTGTTGAAGTGCTTTTCAGGTTACTTTGCTACATTTGACATACAGTCGGCTAGGCTGCGTGGAGAATCGAGCGGTAGTGGGACACAGTGTGCGGTCACTGGGTGACTTCAACATCCTAGTCATAGCTCTCATCAGCGCTCCGCGTCCCAAGCCGGGGTCCGGGGCAAGGCGTCCAAGTCCGCTGGCTGCACCGAAACGGTTGATCAGTATTTTCCTTGCCGATTCGCTGGTCAGTAGGGGATAGTGTAGAGTGGGCGATCACTTATCTGCGATGATAGCGAGTGCTGGGAGTCATTGATAGTGTCAGGTGTTGTGGTCAGTTTTTTATTAAGTTTCGGTATTAACGGTTTGACTTTTGACTGTACTTATCATGGTACACCTTAAAAGGCATTTGCTTTCCGCACATTGTAAGGAATCCTGTACAGCTCCCGCTGCGATACAAACACTTACGCGGAAGGGCTGCACGCAAGGGATGTGCTGTCATCAGTGACTGTTGAGTTGGTCAGATGAGGAAGATCCCATGCCATGACTGTCTGGCTGATTTTTGGAAGTGGTTTCACCAAAGCTTCGCTGACAGCGCATATTTCGGTTTTATTTCGTTTGCTCCTTTGTACGGGTGGGCGACCACTTCGCAGGTTCGACCGCACATCAGTGACGTTCTTACTTACGAATAACTTGTCACGACTTTTTCGCTCGTTTTGTACATTAGTGTGCACGCATTTGTTTGATTCATTTTCGTGTTATTCGTCGTATGTTTGAAGATGGAAGACCTCGTCGAGATGGGAATTTCGTGTCCACTCGCATGGTGGCCGTTACCCCGTGCATTGATCACGTTCCCCCTGTACTCAATAATGGCGCGCTTTGGCTCAAGGAGTTTGCTACGATCTGGTGTTGAATGGGCGCTGGTTTTGTCCCAGCTTGCAGCGAGCTTCATTTGGGAAGCCTTATGGAAGGCTTACGCTATGTAGCGTAAAAGCAGGGCTGTGGCCTTGTGGACTTACGACCGAAAATGAACCTTTGTTTCGGACCGGGTCCGGCCCAGTTCTTGCGTAATTCCGTTCGGTCGTTGTGTGTGCTTCACCGCTGTGTCCGTGGGTGCCGTTGGGTGTGCGCCGCGTCTGTGTCGTGGTGTGCGGGGGTCCACGGACCGCGGCGGCGGGACGTCACAGCGCGTCTGCTGCCGATCGCGACGGCCGGGGACCGCCTGCCCGCCGCCGGGCGTCGGCACCGGCTCTGGCGCCACAGGCCTCAAACTCGCCGTCTTCCGGAACTACTTGCTCGCTTAGCGG